GTTGCCCGTCAAAATCTCTCGAAATTGGTCCAAAATTAAGTTTAATTGGCCTACCATCCTAATCTCATTTTGTCAATTTCACAATTTCAGTTTTTTAACCGTAACTTCAGATTTTCGAACATAAACCACTCTGGAGATTTTCTTAAACGATGCGTCAATGTCTCCTCTACAACACCTATATAGTCGTTGCCCGTTATAATCTCTTCAAATTTGTCCAACATTTTATTTTAGTGCCCTACCCCCGTAATCTCATTTTGTCAATTTCACAATAAAATTTTCAGTTTTTTAACCGTAATTTCAGATTTTCGAACATAAACCACTCTGGAGATTTTCTTAAACAATGCGCCAATGTCTCTTCTACATCACCTGTATAGTCGTTGCCCGTCACAATCTCTTGAAATTGGTCCAAAATAAACTGAAATTGGCCTACCCCCTTAATCTCATTTTGTCAATTTCTCAATTTCAGTTTTTTAACCGTAACTTCAGATTTTCGAACATAAACCACTCTGGAGATTTTCTTAAACGATGCGCCATTGTCTCCTCTACAACACCTATATAGTCGTTGCCCGTCATAATCTCTTGAAATTGGTCCAAAATTAACTTTAATTGGCCTACCCCCCTAATCTCATTTTGTCAATTTCACAATTTCAGTTCTTTAACCGTAACTTCAGATTTTCGAACATAAACCACTCTGGAGATTTTCTTACACGATGCGCCAATGTCCCCTCTACAACACCTATATAGTCGTTGCCCGTTATAATCTCTTCAAATTGGTCCAAAATTTTATTCTAGTGCCCTACCCCCCTAATCTCATTTTGTCAATTTCCCAATTTCAGTTTTTTAACCGTAACTTCAGATTTTCGAACATAAACCACTCTGGAGATTTTCTTAAACGATGCGCCAATGTCTCCTCTACAACACATATATAGTCGTTGCCCGTCACAATCTCTTCAAATTGGTCCAAAATTTTATTTTAGTGCCCTACCCCCCTAATCTCATTTTGTCAATTTCACAATTTCAGTTTTTTAACCGTAACTTCAGATTTTCGAACATAAACCACTCTGGAGATTTTCTTAAACGATGCGCCAATGCCTCCTCTACAACACTTATATAGTTGTTGCCCGTCACAATCTCTTAAAATTGGTCCAAAATTAACTTAAATTGGCCTACCCCCCTAATCTCATTTTGTCAATTTCACAATTTCAGTTTTTTAACCGTAACTTCAGATTTTCGAACATAAACCACTCTGGAGATTTTCTTAAACGATGCGCCATTGTCTCCTCTACAACACCTATATAGTCGTTGCCCGTCATAATCTCATGAAATTGGTCCAAAATTAACTTAAATTGGCCTACCCCCTAATCTCATTTTGTCAATTTCACAATTTCAGTTCTTTAACCGTAACTTCAGATTTTCGAACATAAACCACTCTGGAGATTTTCTTACACGATGCGCCAATGTCCCCTCTACAACACCTATATAGTCGTTGCCCGTTATAATCTCTTCAAATTGGTCCAAAATTTTATTCTAGTGCCCTACCCCCCTAATCTCATTTTGTCAATTTCCCAATTTCAGTTTTTTAACCGTAACTTCAGATTTTCGAACATAAACCACTCTGGAGATTTTCTTAAACGATGCGCCAATGTCTCCTCTACAACACATATATAGTCGTTGCCCGTCACAATCTCTTCAAATTGGTCCAAAATTTTATTTTAGTGCCCTACCCCCCTAATCTCATTTTGTCAATTTCACAATTTCAGTTTTTTAACCGTAACTTCAGATTTTCGAACATAAACCACTCTGGAGATTTTCTTAAACGATGCGCCAATGCCTCCTCTACAACACCTATATAGTTGTTGCCCGTCACAATCTCTTAAAATTGGTCCAAAATTAACTTAAATTGGCCTACCCCCCTAATCTCATTTTGTCAATTTCACAATTTCAGTTTTTTAACCGTAACTTCAGATTTTCGAACATAAACCACTCTGGAGATTTTCTTACACGATGCGCCATTGTCTCCTCTACAACACCTATATAGTCGTTGCCCGTCATAATCTCATGAAATTGGTCCAAAATTAACTTAAATTGGCCTACCCCCTAATCTCATTTTGTCAATTTCACAATTTCAGTTTTTTAACCGTAACTTTTGATTTTCGAACATAAACCACTCTGGAGATTTTCTTAAACGATGCGCCAATGTCTCCTCTACAACACCTATATAGTCGTTGCCCGTCACAATCTCTTTAAAATGGTACGATTTTTTCTTTTAGTGCCCTACCCCCCTGATCTCATTTTGTCAATTTCACAATTAAATTTTCAGTTTTTTAACCGTAACTTTTGATTTTCGAACATAAACCACTCTGGAGATTTTCTTAAACGATGCGCCATTGTCTCCTCTACAACACCTATAAAGTCGTTGCCCGTCAAAATTTCTCGAAATTGGTCCAAAATTAAGTTTAATTGGCCTACCCCCCTAATCTCATTTTGTTAATTTCACAATTTCAGTTTTTTAACCGTAACTTGATTTTCGAACATAAACCACTCTGGAGATTTTCTTAAACGATGCGCCAATGTCTCCTCTACAACACATATATAGTCGTTGCCCGTCACAATCTCTTTAAAATGGTCCAAATTTTTCTTTTAGTGCCCTACCCCCCTAATCTCATTTTGTCAATTTCACAATAAAATTTTCAGTTTTTTAACCGTAATTTCAGATTTTCGAACATAAACCATTCTGGAGATTTTCTTAAACAATGCGCCAATGTCTCCTCTACAACACTAATATAATCGTTGCCCGTCACAATCTCTTGAAATTGGTCCAAAATTAACTTAAATTGGCCTACCCCCCTAATCTCATTTTGTCAATTTCACAATTTCAGTTTTTTAACCGTAACTTCAGATTTTCGAGCATAAACCACTCTGGAGATTTTCTTTAACGATGCGCCAATGTCTCCTCTACAACGCCTATATAGTCGTTGCCCGTCACAATCTCTTTAAAATGGTCCAAATTTTTCTTTTAGTGCCCTACCCCCTAATCTCATTTTGTCAATTTCACAATAAAATTTTCAGTTTTTTAACCGTAACTTCAGATTTTCGAACATAAACCACTCTGGAGATTTTCTTAAACGATGCGCCATTGTCTCCTCTACAACACCTTTATAGTCGTTGCCCGTCATAATCTCTTGAAATTGGTCCAAAATTAACTGAAATTGGCCTACCCCCTTAATCTCATTTTGTCAATTTTACAATTTCAGTTTTTTAACCGTAACTTCAGATTTTCGAACATAAACCACTCTGGAGATTATCTTACACGATGCGCCAACATCCCCTCTACAACACCTATATAGTCGTTGCCCGTTATAATCTCTTCAAATTGGTCCAAAATTTTATTTTAGTGCCCTACCCCCCTAATCTCATTTTGTCAATTTTACAATTTCAGTTTTTTAACCGTAACTTCAGATTTCCGAACATAAACCACTCTGGAGATTTTCCTAAACGTTGCGCCAATGTCTCCTCTACATCACCTACAGGCAGTCGTTGCCCGTCACAATCTCTATAAATGGGTCAACAATCAACTTAAGGTATCCCCCCTTTTCGTTTTTAATTTCAATTTTTTCAACCTAACTTCAGATTTGTTAACATAAACCATCCTGGAGTTTGTCTTAATAGATACGCTAATGTCTCAGCTGCATCACCTTTGCAGTCGTGTACCGTCACAATCTCTATAAATGGGTCAAAAATCAACTTAATGTATGCCCCTCCTCCCTTTTCGTTTTTACAATTTCCGTTTTTTAAACTTAACTTCAGATTTTTACACATAAACCATTCTGGAGTTTGTCTTAGTAGATACGATAATGTCTCCTCTATGTTACCTTTACAGTCGTTGCCTGTCACAATCTCTATAAATTGGTCATAATCTTTATGGTATCACTTTTGTTTTAATTTTTTTATTCGTTTTTGTTTAATATTTTGAATATTCTCATAATTGTCCGCTAGGTCTCTGTAATTGTTCGCTTGCTCGAAAAAAACGTGATTGTCTTATGTGAAATTGTGGTTTTTAGTTATACATCCTAATTGTTCGCTAGCTTGAGTCAAGTATATACGACCGCAAAATTTTTTGCAGTCGTATAAAAAATAGTATATTTAATTAAGAAAGGATTTTTCCAAAAAATTGTGACAATTTGACTCACAGACAATAAGAAGTAATGTAGAGCACAACCCTTGACTGAAAAGATATTTACACAGGAAATGAATTTAATGTTTATTTGAATGCTGACAAAAAAAATCATTTTGGGCAACATGTGCTCTATATTAATATTTCCTAATTGTTCATGACATTTCACTAAAATTGGGTGATTTTTTGTTTGTTTTGTCTCAATTATTGCAATTTCTAATCAAAGACCTTGATAGCTCTATGGACGAAGATGGCCATTGTTTTCCTTAATATCAGTGTTTTCCATAAAATAATTAAACTGCACATGTACATATGTTCATTATTACATGTAAAAAGATATTCCATATATTTTTTAATGGCCCTATCTCAGTATAACAAAACAGAACACAATAAAAGACATTACTGTAAAAAGGCAGAGTGCATGCACTAGAACAAAAGGTAGGGCATAATAACAAGTGGAAAAAAGGGGATCATGAAAAAAGTAATGAAGCTGGGCTCTTTGAAAACTGATCCGATGAAACAATCCATCATCAATAAAGGACAAACTCATTAGGGATCATTTCACAAAATAAAATTACATCAATTGCCTGTGAATTCTATACAAAGCCGCCTTCAAGCATCATTTCTAAATTCAAATGTTCAAGATTTTCAGTGGTGTTTTCACGAAAAAAGCAAAAATGGATCATTTCATCAATCGTGATGGCAAAATGCCAAACATATTAAGGACAGAGGGACAGGTCTAAACCTCCACAAAAAACTGAATTTTCTTTGGCTAGATTTCAAGACTAGACCAGAAAAATTCTCACTTAAATTTTTAAATGCATGGAAAATATGTCAAATAATGCTTTCTTCCTGTTAAAGTTCAATCAATTCACAAATAAGTATACACTTAAAAAACGCATGACCATGTGAGACTTTTCACTTTTGTTTTTCCCCAAAATACTTAATATGTTTTAAATATAAAATTAAGCATGCAAAGAAGAGGTCACTTTCTGAAATAAAGATTTTCTAAAAAATAAACAAATTAAAGCATGTGTTTAAATAAGAGTATCTCCCACATGAAATGTCATTCCAGGGCTTACATTTCCTATCATGATATCCTTGATAGAGGGTTACTGCTTACTAGAACGCTTATATTACACTTATGGTTCTGAATGGTAAAGTTGAATTCATCCCTATGAAAGATTAAGGAAACCATCATGATTTGGTTGACAGTTATGGTGTACAATATATACCAGTATGCTTCACTTGTCATAGCCACAACCCATTCCCCTTTTACTAGAGTGTGTTATCACCAAATGCTACTTATCACTGAATTTTTACTTGCAATGAGTATTCACAAGTGGAGCAGGAACTGTTAAGTATTTTGGAGCACCTGAGTTCAACTCTGGTTTTTGGTTTTAATCATTTTCTGTGTAGAGTTTTGTGGACTTGTTTGACTTTTCATCATTTTTCTTTTGTCCTTGGTGTTGTCTATATGGTGTCGTCTGTTTGGTGTCTATTTGGTGTTGTCTATATGGTGTCGTCTGTTTGGTGTCTATTTGGTGTTGTCTATTTGGTGTTGTCTGTATTTTTTTTGACGAATGGTTTATGATTTCCACCTTGGTATCTTGTCTCCTTTATTTCTTTGAAGTAATCTTAGTTCCAAACAGGTACATAGTTAACATAAGCTGATACACGATTGTTACACAAGAAAATGATGTAAAATTGACTTATTAATCCTTATTTTACTCAACAATTAACTAATGAATATGTGGTTATAAATGACAATTCAAAGTAATGGAGTATAAACAATAAACATAGAACTTAAAAATACATATAATTATTTTCATACTTTGGAACTTAGTAATTTTTTCAGCAAAAGTTTCTAAAGATGGTACCAATTTTGTGTAAATGTTCATTAAAGACCATTTTTCAATGTTAAAGAAACATTCTGTGTAACCCAGTCTTTAGATTTAGAGTCTTTTGTGCATTTTCTGTTGGTTTCTCATTAATTTGTGTCCAAGTGCTCTAATAATTTCCTCTTTTAAAATAAATCTAATTACAAAACATGTAAGAAATTTAGGAATCAATATCTGACCTTGTCCTGAGATTAAATATCAATTATTTCAATTTTAAAACATTGTAATTTGTTTACTTATATGTATTGATGGATATATCTCCATATCAAAACAACAATATTTTGTAAATAATATAATAGTGGTTTAAATGCTTAAATGTTGAGAGTATCAGTGGCGGTTCCAAAGGGGGGAGGGGTTCCGGGGTTGGAACCCCCCCTTTTTTTTGACGATCAATGCATTTGAATGGGGACATATAGTTGGAACCCCCCCCCCCCCCCTTTATCCTGTGTTAGTTACCCCCTTTTATAAATGGCTGGATCAGCCCCTGAGTATGCAATGTCATCTCTTTTACATATCATTATAATCTTGTGGTGGCAAAAGGACACTTAGTTGTTCTTGACAGGAAATCTACTCTACAATGGTTCATCAACTTTTATTTTAATTATGAATCATGTTAATGGATTATAAATATATGGTATAATAAATAAACGTCCAACAATCATAAGCCAAAACAACAATCAAAACAAAGAGATGCTAAAAAAATACAGCACAATACTTCATTTACCCCTTTGTTTTAAAACACTGCATACACATAGACGAACAAGCATTCTGAGAGTATTGCATGGCAATACATAGTCCCCTACTGGGTAAAAATTCATTTTACTGGAACAAAAAGCTAACTTGTTCTATAACTTGGCATGGTGTAAACAAAAAGAAAATATCAAGCCAATATCTTCAAGCATGACTAAAAACAGTGTGGAAAACTGATTAAATGAGTGAATTTTTCAAGTTCAAGGACCATAACTCTGCACAAAATTATTAGACTGAAACAAAATTACGAACTTGATCTGTATAACTTGTCATGATAAAACTATATACCAATTATCAATCAATATCTTCAAGCATGATGAAAAAAAGTGTGGAAAACACTTTAACATTAGATATGATTAATAGTTCTCTAAAATTGGATATGTTGTAATACAGTGTATATCTATTTTCAAATTATAATCAAATATAATTAATAGTTCCAAATATTTTTTCTTTTATTTGTCACAAACTAATATAGATTTGTAACTTATCTATAAAATGTCAACAATTTTTACCTAAACAATGTAATGTAATGTATACATTAATAACTAGAGGCTCTCAAGAGCCTGTGTCGCTCACCTATACTTACTGATGCTTTCGAAATCATGTAAAATAAGGTTAAAATCATAATTAATAGTATTAGATATTAGATATTGTAATGATATCTAAGATAATAACAAAAAACTGCAAATTTTTTGTAAAATTACTAACTCAGGAGCAGCAACCCAACAACGGGTTGTCAGATTTGTCTGAAAATTTCAGGGCAGACAAATCTAAATCTGATGAACATTTTTGCCACCTGTCAGATTTGCTCTAAATGCTTTAGTTTCAGAGATATAAACCAAAAACTGCATTTTACCCCTATGTTCTATTTTTAACCAAGTCGGCCATGATGGTTGGAAGGCGGGGTCATCGGACAATTTTTTTAAACAAGATACCCTAATAATGATTATGGCCAAGTATGGTTAAATTTGTCTCAGTAGTTTCAGAGAAGAAGATTTTTGTAAAAGATTACAAAAATTTTAAAAAAATTGTTAAAAATTGACTATTAAGGGCAATAACTCCTAAAGGGGTCGACTGACAATTTTGATCATGTCAACTTATTTGTAGATCTTATTTTGCTGAACATTATTGCTGTTTACAGTTTATCTCTATCTATAATAATATTCAAGATAATAACCAAAAACTGCAAAATTTCCTTAAAAATACCAATTCAGGGGCAGCAACCCAACAACAGATTGTCAGATTTGTCTGAAAATTTCAAGGCAGATAGATCTTGACCTGATAATTAGTTTTACCCTTGTCAGATTTACTCTTAATGCTTTGGTTTCAGAGATATAAGCCAAAATCAACATTTTACCCCTATGTTCTATTTTTTAGCCATGGTGGCCATCTTGGTTGGTTGGCGGGGTCATCGGACACATTTTTTAAACAAGATACCCTAATGATGATTGTGGCCAAATTTGGTTAAAGGTTTCAGAGGAGAAGATTTTTGTAAAAAGCTAACGACGACGGACGACGACGACGGACGCCAAGTGATGAGAAAAGCTCACTTGGCCCTTCGGACCAGGTGAGCTAAAAATAGATTATTATCTTATTAAAGGATTTCATTTCATAATTTTTTTTACATATATATAGCATTCAGAAAATTATTTACGCAAAATAACAAACAAACCTGCCTAAAAATTCTTCAAATAATTTACCAAAGAATGTCTTTTAAAAAATGAGTTATCTCCCTTTGTACAGAAATAGGGTTTAACATAGTACTCTAACATTAGATATGGTCCAGAGTTATGGTCCATAACTCTGGACTAAATCATCAGACTGGAACAAAATTCGAACTTGATCTATAACTTGTCATGGTAAAACTATATACCAAATATCAAATCAATATCTTCAAGAATGAAGAAAAAAATGTGGAAAACTGATTTGCCGGACTGACGGATGGACAGACGGACAGACAGATGGACAGAGTCTTCGTCGGTAGGGGACTAATAAATGGAATTAGATGAATGATATACTGTAAAACAGGGATGTTATTGCTGATTTGTAGTGTATGCATACATTGTAACCATTAGTCTTACACAGTCTTGTGTATTTCAATGAAAAAAGCAATGTATCACCAACACCTCCCCCCCAAAAAAAAACCAATTGTCTTGTTAATAATTGATACTTTCGTAAGGTAGATACACAATAAAAACAAACATATGATCCCATTGCCTTAAAAGAAAAGGTATAATTACAAGCCAATAATTCGGCAAATTGGCCAAAAAATGAATTGTATTTGAAATTTTCTCACAGACTTTAATTTTGAATCTATGAACTTTGATGAAATTTTGCATTTTTAGTTTAAAACTGAGCCCTTTGAAAACTGAGCAGATGAAACACTCCATCATCAATAAAGGACAAACTCATTAGTGATCATTTCGAAAAAAAAAAATCAGATTAATTGCCTGTAAAATCTGTACAAAGCCGCAGTCAAGCGTAATTTCTAAATTAAAATGTTCAAGATTTTCAGTGTACCGGTAGTTTCCTAAAAAAAAACAAAAATGGATCATTTCATCAATCGTGATGGCAAAATGCCACACAGATTAAAGACAGAGAGACAGGTCTAAACCTCCACAAAAAACTGAATTTTCTTTGGTGTTTTACAAACTAAAACCAGTTTCAAGACTAGACGAGAGAAATTCTCACTTAAATTTTCAAATGCATGGGAAATATGTCAAATAATGCTTTCTTCCTGTTAAAAGTTCAATCAATTCACAAATAAGTATACACTTAAAAAACGCATGACCATGAGAGACTTTTCACTTTTGTTTTCCCCAAAATACTTAATATGTTTTAAAGATAAAAATTAAGCATGCAAAGAGGTCACTTTCTGACATAAAGATTTCCTAAAAAAAACAAATTAAAGCATGTGTTTAAATAAGAGTATCTCCCACATGAAATGTCATTCCAGGGCTTAAATTTCCTATCATGATATCCTTGATAGAGGGTTACTGCTTACTAGAACGCTTATATTACACTTATGGTTCTGAATGGTAAAGTTGAAGTCATCCCTATGAAAGATTAAGGAAGTCATCATGATTTGGTTGACAGTTATGGTGTACAATATATACCAGTATGCTTCACTTGTCATAGCCACAACCCATTCCCCTTTTATTACTAGAGTGTGTTATCACCAAATGCTACTTATCACTGAATTTTTACTTGCAATGAGTATTCACAAGTGGCGCAGGAACTGTTAAGCATTTTGGAGCACCTGAGTTCAACTCTGGTTTTTGGTTTTAATCATTTTCTGTGTAGAGTTTTGTGGACTTGTTTGACTTTTCATCATTTTTCTTTTGTCCATGGTGTTGTCTATATGGTGTCGTCTGTTTGGTGTCTATTTGGTGTTGTCTATATGGTGTCGTCTGTTTGGTGTTGTCTATATGGTGTTTTCTATATGGTGTCGTCTGTTTGGTGTTGTCTATTTGGTGTCGTCTGTTTGGTGTTGTCTATTTGGTGTTGTCTATTTGGTGTTGTCTGTTTGGTGTTGTCTATTTGGTGTTGTCTATTTGGTGTCGTCTGTTTGGCGTCTATTTGGTGTTGTCTATTTGGTGTCGTCTGTTTGGTGTTGTCTATTTGGTGTTGCCTATTTGGTGTCGTCTGTTTGGTGTTGTCTATTTGGTGTTGTCTATTTGGTGTTGTCTGTATTTTTTTTGACGAATGGTTTATGTTTTCCACCTTGGTATCTTCTCTCCTTTATTTCTTTGAAGTAATCTTAGTTCCAAACAGGTACAAAGTTAACATAAGCTGATACACGATTGTTACACAGGGAAATGATGTAAATTGACTTATTAATCCTTATTTTACTCAACAATTAACTAATGAATATGTGGTTATAAATGACAATTCAAAGTAATGGAGTATAAACAATAAACATAGAACTTAAAAATACATATAATTATTTTCATACTTTGGAACTTAGTAATTTTTTCAGCAAAAGTTTCTAAAGATGGTACCAATTTTGTGTAAATGTTCATTAAAGACCATTTTTCAATGTTAAAGAAACATTCTGTGTAACCCAGTCTTTAGATTTAGAGTCTTTTGTGCATTTTCTGTTGGTTTCTCATTAATTTGTGTCCAAGTGCTCTAATAGTTTCCTCTTTTAAAATAAGTATTATTACAAAACATGTAAGAAATTTAGTTATCAATATCTGACCTTGTCCTGAGATTAAATATCAATTATTTCAATTTTAAAACATTGTAATTTGTTTACTTATATGTATTGATGGATATATCTCCATATCAAAACACAAATATTTTGTAAATAATATTCTATAGTGGTTTAAATGCTTAAATGTTGCGAGTATCAGTGGCGGTTCCAAGGGGGGGGGGGGGGGGTTCCGGGGTTAGAACCCCCCCCTTTTTTTTGACGATCAATGCATTTGAATGTGGACATATAGTTGGAACCCCCCCTTTATCCTGTGTTAGAAACCCCCCTTTTATAAATGGTTGGATCCGCCCCTGAGTATGCAATGTCATCTCTTTTACATATCATTATAATCTTGTGGTGGCAAAAGGACACTTAGTTGTTCTTGACAGGAAATCTACACATCAATGGTTCATCAACTTTTATTTTAATTATGAATCATGTTAATGGATTATAAATATATGGTATAATAAATAAACATCCAACAATCATAAGCCAAAACAACAATCAAAACAAAGAGATGCTAAAAAAATACAGCACAATACTTCATTTACCCCTTTGTTTTAAAACACTGCATACACATAGACGAACAAGCATTCTGAGAGTATTGCATGGCAATACATAGTCCCCTACCGGGTAAAAATTCATTATACTGGAACAAAAAGCTAACTTGTTCTATAACTTGTCATGGTGTAAACAAAAAGAAAATATCAAGCCAATATCTTCAAGAATGACTAAAAACAGTGTGGAAAACTGATTAAATTAGTGAATTTTTCAAGTCCAAGGACCATAACTCTGCACAAAATTATCAGACTGAAACAAAATTTCGAACTTGATCTGTATAACTTGTCATGATAAAACAATATACCAATTATCAATCAATATCTTCAAGCATGATGAAAAAAAGTGTGGAAAACACTTATGATTAATAGTTCTCTAAAATTAGATATGTTGTAATGCAGTGTATATCTATTTTCAAATTATAATCAAATATAATTAATAGTTCCAAATATTTTGTCTTTTATTTGTCTCAAACTAATATAGATTTGTAACTTATCTATAAAATGTCAACAATTTTTATCTACACAATGTAATGTTATGTATACATTAATAAAAATAGATTATTATCTAATTAAAGGATTTCACTTCATAATTTTTTTTATATATATATAGCATTCAGAAAATTAGTTTACACAAAATAACAAACAAGCCTGCCAAAAAATTCTTCAAATAATTTACCAAAGAATGTCTTTTAAAAAATGAGTTATCTCCCTTTGTACAGAAATAGGGTTTAACATAGTACTTTAACACTAGATATGGTCCAGAGTTATGCTCCATAACTCTGGACTAAATCATCAGACTGGAACAAAATTCGAACTTGATCAATAACTTGTCATGGCAAAACTATATACCAAATATCAAATCAATATCTTCAAGAATGAAGGAAAAAAATGTGGAAAACTGATTTGCCAGACTGACGGATGGACAGACGGATGGACAGACGGACAGACAGATGGACAGAGTCTTCGTCGGTAGGGGACTAATAACTTGAATTAGATGAATGATATACTGTAAAACAGGGATGTTATTGCTGATTTGTAGTGTATGCATACATTGTAACACTCAGTCTTACACGGTCTTGTGTATTTCAATGAAAGAAGCAATGTATCACCAACACCTCCCCCCCCAAAAAAAACAATTGTGTTGTTAATAATTGATACTTTCCTAAGATAGATACACAATAAAAACAAGCATATGATCCCATTTCCTTAAAAGAAAAGGTATAATTTCAAGCCAATAATTTGGCAAATTGGCCAAAAAATGAATTGTATTTGAAATTTTCTCACAGACTTTAATTTTGAATCTATGAACTTTGATGAAATTTTGTATTTTTAGTTTAAAACTAGGCCCTTTGAAAACTGATCAGATGAAACACTCCATCATCAATAAAGGACAAACTCATTAGGGATCATTTCACAAAATAAAATCAGATTAATTGCCTGTTAAATCTGTACAAAGCCGCAGTCAAGCGTAATTTCTAAATTCAAATGTTCAAGATTTTCAGTGTACTGGTAGTTTCCTAAAAAAAAACAAAAATGGATCATTTCATCAATCGTGATGGCAAAATGCCAAACAGATTAAAGACAGAGGGACAGGTCTAAACCTCCACAAAAAACTGAATTTTCTTTGGCGTTTAACAAGCTAAAACCAGTTTCAAGACTAGACGAGAAAAATTCTCACTTAAATTTTCAAATGCATGGGAAATATGTCAAATAATGCTTTCTTCCTGTTAAAGTTCAATCAATTCACAAATAAGTATACACTTAAAAAAACACATGACCATGTGAGTCTTTTCACTTTTGTTTTCCCCAAAATACTTAATATGTTTTAAATATAAAATTAAGCTTGCAAAGAAGAGGTCATTTTCTGAAATAAAGATTTCCTAAAAAATAAACAAATTAAAGCATGTGTTTAAATAAGAGTATCTCCCACATGAATTGTCATTCCAGGGCTTAAATTTCCTATCATGATATCCTTGATAGAGGGTTACTGCTTACTAGAACGCTTATATTACACTTATGGTTCTGAATGGTAAAGTTGAAGTCATCCCTATGAAAGATTAAGGAAGTCATCATGATTTGGTTGACAGTTATGGTGTACAATATATACCAGTATGCTTCACTTGTCATAGCCACAACCCATTCCCCTTTTATTACTAGAGTGTGTTATCACCAAATTCTACTTATCACTGAATTTTTACTTGCAATGAGTATTCACAAGTGGAGCAGGAACTGTTAAGCATTTTGGAGCACCTGAGTTCAACTCTGGTTTTTGGTGTTAATCATTTTCTGTGTAGAGTTTTGTGGACTTGTTTGACTTTTCATCATTTTTCTTTTGGTGTTGTCTATATGGTGTCGTCTGTTTGGTGTCTATTTGGTGTTGTCTATTTGGTGTCGTCTGTTTGGCGTCTATTTGGTGTTGTCTATTTGGTGTTGTCTATTTGGTGTGGTCTGTTTGGTGTTGCCTATTTGGTGTTGTCTATTTGGTGTCGTCTATATGGTGTCGTCTATTTGGTGTTGTCTATTTGGTGTTGTCTGTATTTTTTTTGACGAATGGTTTATGATTTCCACCTTGGTATCTTCTCTCCTTTATTTCTTTGAAGTAATCTTAGTTCCAAACAGGTACAAAGTTAACATAAGCTGATACACGATTGTTACACAGGGAAATGATGTAAAATTGACTTATTAATCCTTATTTTACTCAACAATTAACTAATGAATATGTGGTTTTAAATGACAATTAAAAGTAATGGAGTATAAACAATAAACATAGAACTTAAAAATAAATGCACTTCAAAGTTTATCTCATTCTTAATCACTTGACACCTTTCTACATCAATAAGTATCTGTTATTAGTATCAGGGTTCAGGTTTGATAACAGTCAGGACAGCTGTCACAGATAAATACAAATATTCATATTATTAAAAACATTTAGAATTTTAACTTAAATATCAAAGCCTTTTGTTCAGGTCAAATGTAATCCGACCTTGTTCTTTTACAGATTTATCATCTCAGTGTATACAGGCTGATATCCAGTTGAAATTAAACAAAAGAAATGGAACTCTTAATTAGAGAAAGTAAAACTTGGTAAATTTGAATTGTTTACATCTGTTTCTTATGGCTTTAAAAGTTTAATGAAGGTGCATAATTTATGATTTTATGCATCTTATATAAGTGTTTTAACTTAAATTATAGTATAGAGCTACTAGATTTTTGTTAACTTTAAAATCAAAGACAAATTTTCACAAAACAGTCGATTGTGATAGGTGTAAATACATTTGGATCTTTTTTGTGCATAAGCATAAATTCCCCCGATAAAAATGCCACAGAAAGATAGAAGATTGATCTTTGTAAAGCATTAATTTGCATCTATGCCCCCGGCAACAGTTTTTTGTGAAAAAATCCTAAAAATGGGCAATAATTACATCGAAAAGGGAAAGTCGAGTACACCTTTTTATGTTCAGGCGTGTTTGAGTTGACTATTTTATCTTGAAAACGTATAAAGTAAAAATATTTTATACATCATCTCGCTTCAGATTCTATTATTTTTATATATTCAAACTACAGGTTGATATAATAACATTAAAAACTCACAGTACTTAATGAAATATATGGGTCAAGTGAATACCTTTCTAGTGAGTCATAACAACAGAGTTGGTATGTTTGAATCACAAATTTTTACTGAAAACCCTTGATGACAGACTTTACGAGTGGATCTTAAAAATGCATAACTTAAAAAAAACACCATTTTTTGGTGTGTATTATCTAGGAAAATTCGTCTTGAACATCTGAAAATTTTTAGTCTGCCCTTCCACGAAATATTTAATTAGATTGTTTTGGGTGTTTTTTTAACTTTCAAAAATTCCACCTGACATAGTGATCAGACAGTAGTTTTAAGTTGACTAAAGGCCTAAAAGAACATAAAACAATGTTTGATAGCTAGTAGATACATTTGTCTTTTAAAATACAACTGGCATATAATGATCATAATGATGCTATCTGGATAAATATAATGGTTTTCAAGAGCTAAATTGACAGCACATCATCCCTACAATGGCTTCCATTTTTACGATTGGAAAACCTTGATGGCGTAATGGGGAGAGAATTTTGACGATGCAGAATCCTGACTGTATATTGGTACTTAGTACACAACATTTAAAGTTTGTTCATTTTTTAAGTGTACTTCTTTATAAGTTATGCTAAACAATAATTGGTGGACCTGGTATTATTGATGGTTTCATTATTTGATTTGGGGCAGGGAGAAATGGTAAAGCTTAAAAGCCCCAAAATTAGACATTAGGTGATTATTCATCATTTAGTATATTTTAAGTTAAAAGCATATGTAGATGATATCTGATAGATACTTAAATGAACAAGAATGTGTTCATAGTACACGGATGCCCCACTCGCACTATCATTTTCTATTCATTAGACCGTGAAATTGGGGTCAAAACTCTAATTTGGCATTAAAATTAAAAAGATCATATCATAGGGAACATGTGTACTAAGTTTCAAGTTGATTGGACTTCAACTTCATCAAAAACTACATTGACCAAAAACTTTAACCTGAAGCGGGACAAACAGACGAACGGACAGAATAACGAACACACAGATTTTTGTTTAGAAAGGCTTTTGATTATTTCCTGGATTAAATTATTTTGACAATTCTTAAAAAGAACTTTGCTAACACTTTGAAAAATACTTAAAGCACACAAGAGTTACTTTTACACTAAATTCAATGTATGAAAATACATGTACTTGTATGGCTCAACACATAGCACACAAAAGTTACTTTTACACTTCAATGTATGAAAATACTTGTACATGTATGGCTCAATACATAGCACACAAGAGTTACTGTCACATTAAAATTAAGAGTAAGTAAACACATGTATATGTATGGCTCAATATATAGCACACAAAAGTTACTTTTACACTTCAATGTATGAAAATACATGCACATGTATGGCTCAATATATAGCACACAAAAGTTACTTTTACACTTCAATGTATGAAAATACATGCACATGTATGGCTCAATATATAGCACATGTATGGCTCAATATATAGCACACAAAAGTTACTTTTACACTTCAATGTATGAAAATACATTTACATGTATGGCTCAATATATAGCACACAAGAGTTACTGTTACACTAAATTAAATGTAATAAAATACATGTATATGTATGGCTCAATAGCCATGATAGCACAGTTTTACATGAAAATGAATGAATAAGCACTGAGTTAAACATTAAATTGCTGGTACAGTAATATCTATTCTTTTATAAATACATCAAAGGAGTAGGTCCAGTAAGACCCATTTTTGGCCCCAAAATATAGCAGTTTTACAAAATTGTTAAAATGTAAACTTTAAGTTATTTATTGGAAAGAAGAATACTTCTGTTACATAAATATGAGCTGTTTTTGACAATACAATCCACATATATCGGGTACTAGCATCTTTAAGTCATGCTAAATTACTGAAATCTTCAAAATTTTAGCATTTGAGTTCAATTTTAGACGGTTTCCGTCTCAAATGGAAGTGGCCGCATTTGTGTTCATTCTTAATATTTAAATGTAAGTTGTATTTGATGATAATACATAACATACATAAAGGTTGAGAATGAACACGGATGCGGCCACTTTCATTTTTGACAAAAACCAACTGAAAAGTGACCTATTATGGAATATTTGATAGATTTTCCATATTTAAGCTTGAATTTTGGCGTTTTTAATGACTAAATCAGTTCAAATCTTTCACATAAACTAATTGAATCGACTGAAGTAGACACTTAAGTGTTTAAAAAGTGTCCAAAATCTTTCATCAGATGAACCTGAAATTTGAGGCCAAAATCGGCCCTTACCGGACCTACTCCTTTCTAATAAAAGATGGAAGAACTTTCAAGTTAGCACTAAATGTAAATATGATTTATGCTTAGAATTTGTAATGACAAAAACAATCTGCCTGGTTTTGTCAAAGCACTTAGAAAAGTTGAAATAATTATTCAATTAACTTACTAGAAACTGTCTTACAAATGAAACAAGGGACAAATTCTTTAAATTCAGAATTACTGAAATGTTTGTCACGAACTAAAATAAATTATATGACAAAATGTGTTCAGCATTATTAAAAAACAATTTTGTATCACATCTATTAAAGCCATATGAAACTTTAAATTAAAAAAAAAAGTTGAATATGTTTTATATACTTGAATGGCTAAGTTTTACTACAAAACAAGTGTACGTAAACTTTCTTGTAAAAAAACATCCTTCATATTATCAAAATCTTCATAATTGTACTGCTATCCAATTATTGTCTTCCCATACTCTAATTCGCCAATATTTTCTCGTATGCAGTGACCTTTACTACAAGACTTCTCGTTAGAACTTCGGCCACTGCACAGCGCAAGTGCGAGGGGGAAAACCATGATGATAGAAATTATTAAAACAAACGTTCACTGGAAGGAAAATAGTAATAACTGATTCTTAAAGAACAAATTAAGTACACCAAATCATTTAAAAATTGTTAAAGAAAAGTTTAATTAACAAATGGGAACACATGAAAATATATCAAAAAAATATCATGGCTCTATCACTCACTTATTTTTTACGTGCTCCATATGCTCTGTGTTGATTGTTTATCAGTGTCACTATCCTGTAAACATGGTAAACTTCGGCAACAAAGTCAAAACTTAATTAGCTTGTGATCAACAATCACGGAATGACATATCAATTGTCAATAATATGTTATAAAACGTAATAAATATATAAAAATAATAAGTTCTACTCAAAAGCAAAGGCTACACATGTATGCCAAATAACAGCATACATGTACCACAACTATGTTCTACTCTGAAATGAAATGATATACCTGATAACAACAACATGCAACTAGGTTCTACTGTTAGGTAAAGTACATTGTACTTTGTCTGATAACAGCATAACATAACTAGGTTCTTCTCTTCTACCACTGATATACATTGTAATGCCATATGACACAAAATTTTAAGATTATGCATATATTGAAATTAGAAAACAGAAAACTAAAGGGGGCTGTGTACATATTGTTAGCAACTTTTAATTGAAAAACTTTTCAAAATTCACAGAAAAGTTGTTTATAATATGCAACTACCAACTTTACCAAAGTCTTGAGTACAATTTAACTTTTCCATTTACTTTGATATTTGACAAAAATTAAGGAGAATTGGTGGAGTTTCTACAGGGAATATGCAATAAGCTACTAGCATGAGTCGAAATATCTCATGAATGGGAATTTTTTAACTTATGAACATCCCTAAATTAAATCTTATAATTATAGTTGCGTCGATCTTGCATCTTGAAAAAACTTTTAACATATGTTGGTTATAATAAGGACCTAAATGCTATTGTTATTCATTAATAAAGAACGTATAAAACCGAAATTTTCATCTATCCGTGCATTTGTATAAAAGGCAGTAAACATACAGGGACTTCCCCTTCATAAGATATTTTATGTTTCATTATAGACTCTGCTGCTAGACATTTTAATGTTTGGTATTGTAGAGGACACACCGGGAGACCTGCATGTTGTAGTAGGATCAGAGCACTTTGACCTTCAGCATTGTGAATATCAACATGAGCATCATTCTGTAACAAGCAATCTAAAATCCCTTCATTCTGGAGCTCTGAATATGTTAAAAACTTGATACTGTTATGAAGAGCAGTGTTTCTCTTACTGTCAACAGCATTAATGTCAATGCCACATGATATCAAAATTTCCACAACTGATAGGGTTGGAAAGGGGGAATAAAATTCCTCACTAGTAAGAGAAATCTTAGGATCAACAGACAAATGTAGTAAACTTCCACCTTCCTGTCCTCTTGGGTCTTGTAGAATTAAATGATGAACTGCTTTTCGGAACTGGAAATTTTGTGGTGATGTTTTGTCTAATCTGGCCATAAGATGTATGACATGAAGAGAAAGTTGAAGTAATAGCTGGAAATCCTCATTCCCCTTGTTATTCCCTGTGGAATTCTTTAAAGATTCTTGTCCACTAATAATCTGTGCTACTAACATTTCAAATACTTCTTGAGCATCTGCTACTTTCACCTACAAATGAAATCATATTCATTTTTGTAATACTTAATGCACATTTAATATTGTATAAATTATAATAAGCTTTGTGTATGCTATGGTAATAGTACTAAGGTAATAGTACTAATGTAAATCAGTTGTTTAATTTTGTGTATGCTATGGTGATAGTACTAATGTAAATCAGTTGTTTAATTTTGTGTATGCTATGGTGATAGTACTAATGTAAATCAGTTGTTTAATTTTGTGTATGCTATGGTGATAGTACTAATGTAAATCAGTAGTTTAATTTTGTGTATGCTATGGTGATAGTACTAATGTAAATCAGTTGTTTAATTTTGTGTATGCTATGGTGATAGTACTAATGTAAATCAGTTGTTTAATTTTGTGTATGCTATGGTGATAGTACTAATGTAAATCAGTAGTTTAATTTTGTGTATGCTATGGTGATAGTACTAATGTAAATCAGTTGTTTAATTTTGTGTATGCTATGGTGATAGTACTAATGTAAATCAGTAGTTTAATTTTGTGTATGCTATGGTAATAGTACTAATGTAAATCAGTTGTTTAATTTTGTGTATGCTATGGTGATAGTACTAATGTAAATCAGTTGTTTAATTTTGTGTATGCTATGGTAATAGTACTAATGTAAATCAGTTGTTTAATTTTGTGTATGCTATGGTAATAGTACTAATGTAAATCAGTTGTTTAATGTAAATATTGCAATTCCTAGTACATTCTTCTGAATGACATGTAAGTTTTGTTAATTTATTAAACATGTTAAATGATTCATGTTTAAGTTTACCATTGACTAAAAAACAAACCCAATAATCTAATTAGCCAAAGTCTTTCAACAGGCTATAACTACAAATAATTTTACATTGTAACTATATGGACACTGTACGCATAAGAAATTCTCACAAAATTTTCCAAATACAAATGATATTAATGTTTACATGTATAGACAAAAACAGATCTGGGGGGAATATTCCTGTAAAAATCTTTATAAAATCTTTACAAAAATAAAGCCTCCTTTATATATATAAAGCACTTATTGCAGTTGAGACAAAAATAAATCAAACGTAGCTATCTTAAAAACTTCTCCTGCTCAAAAAGCTTTTTTAATTACCTTTTCTTCTGTAGTTCCTGACTCTAACTCCACTTGCATCTCCCAGAATAACTTTACCAAAGCCTGCACAGTAAACAAACATTCATGTGTCAATGGGTCATTCTTACGATGTCTCAATATATACGTATACTTCCATAGATCTACGCACCGCTGATACCTATGAGTATCTGCATATACAGCACCTCTGTACATCAAGCCAAAAGTAACATCTTTGTGGCATGGCCCTAAAATTCTCTCCCTAATTAATAATGCCTGCATGTATACATCATCAGGATCAATTATACGATGAAGTTCTTTGAGATTATTAGGTTCTCGAGCATGCAGATAGGCATAGTTTGTATCAAGTGGCAATTTCTTGATGAGTGGGTTATTCTCATCTTGATAACGAATGTTCATTGCTTCTTGCCACATAGCTAAGCCACCTACAATATCATGAACCTCATCCACCAGATTAGCCCCTAACAGTTCATAGGCATGGGCAGATGTTTCCCTTGTTTGATCTGTTGTTTCCAGTATATATTTCACAATCGATTTGTAACCTCTCAAAGCAGCAGTTTGGAGAGCATCATCACCAAAATCGTTTTTAGCAGTATGGTCAGAACCATACTTCAGAAGCACCTTAACTGTGTCTAGTCTTCCTTCTCTAATGGCATAGTGTAGAGCAAGATTACCAGAATTGTCCTTGGCATTCACATCCACTCCCTTAGATAAAAGGAAGACACACAGTTCCTCACTTTGTACAGAGTTTATCAGACAAGTGCCTCCATTTATGTTTGGTTTATGTATGTTAGCCCCATGCTCAACAAGGATTTTCACAATAGAGATATTTGTCATGAAACAAGCTGACCTGACAGGAGTTGATTGTGTATCTGATGGACTGTTAATATCAGCACCATGTTCAACTAAAGCTTTTACAACTTCCAATTTATTAGCTACTGCTGAACACCATAAAGGTGAAACTTCATGTCGAGAATGATCTAATTCTACCTCATAAATTCCTTTTAATTCCTTATCTGCTCCACAATCATCTAGTAAATAATTAACTATGTGAACCCGACCTTTTAGACTAGAAATGAACAAAGCAGCACTTCCATTTATTTTATGATTAACAATGGTTGTCCTTTGTTGTTTAGAAAATTTTCGTAATGTGACTTTCAGCTTGCTTAGTTTATCATCCTGTATACAATTATGAACAATAGAGGCATACCAAGGAACATCAACGTCATCAGTTCGTACAGATGTACAGGCTAAGTTAGACATCTTGTGTGCCCCTTCTTGAAAATGTCTGAAAAATGATTTCTTCTCTGTCATGTCATCCTGAAAATAAACATATACAGAAAATGTTTAAAAAGAGGCTCTGTGATGCCTTGCATTCCACACCAGGAATCTGTATGTATTACTGATATGTGGGTCTCATTGGGGTCTAAACGTGACCCGGGATTGCCGATTTTTTGTAAGCGTGACACGTGAAAGTCAAATTATTGTGCCGTGAAAACGGGAAATGAAGTCTAGCGGGACACGGGAAATTACAAAAAAATGAGAATTGCTTACGTACATAGTGTAAGCGGGATACGGGAATCTGACAAAACAGTAAGCGGGATCAGGGATCAGAACCCCCAATGAGACCCCCTGATATAATCTATGTATGTACCCTGGTACATGTACCAATTAAACAGGTGATCGGTATATATACAATTTTAATTTTTAAATATTTATTGATGTCAGTATAAAAGCATTTTCTTTTAAGTGAGGGCCAGACTGGTCATGATTCAGTTGACTGAATGCAAGGTTTATAACAGTATAATTTCCATTGATTAGATGCACCACTGGACAAAGTAGACCACCTTGTGAACATTGTCAATCAGAGGAGTTAAGCACTTTCCAACCTACACCATATTATGTATGTGCTTGTAGCAAGTCAGGAGCCTGTAATTCAGTGGTTGTCATTGGCTGCTGTCTGTTTGTGCTTGTTGCAAGTCAGGAGCCTGTTATTCAGTGGTTGTCATTGGCTGCTGTCTGTATGTGCTTGTAGCAAGTCAGGAGCCTGTAATTCAGTGGTTGTCATTGGCTGCTGTCTGTTTGTGCTTGTCGCAAGTCAGGAGCCTGTAATTCAGTGGTTGTCATTGGCTGCTGTCTGTTTGTGCTTGTCGCAAGTCAGGAGCCTGTAATTCAGTGTTGTCATTGGCTGCTGTCTCCCATATTAGTTTTTCATTTACTGTTTTAGCATAAATCAGGTAAGTGATTGATTTTCTCATTTGAATTAGTTCACATTTTGTCATGCCAGGGCCATTTATAGCTTACTATACAGTATCATGAGTATGGCCCATGGGTTTTGCTCATCGTTAAAAGCAGAACGATAATATAACCTAATGTTGCTTACATCCATGTCCTTTTGGTCTCTGGTGGATAGCTGTCTCATTGGCAATCATACCACATACACTGCAAGCCCAAACCAAATATTATATTTGTAAACAAAACATGGTCAGGTTGGGAAAAGCTACAATTTCTAGTTTAGATAGCTTGATTGGGCTATATTACATTTATTGAGCTACAATAAATTATCTCCTTTTAAAATGTTCTTTTTATACAGTTGTTCACCTATTTTTAAAGCATTCGTTTAAGTAATATTTCAGAAAATAAAAGAGATAAATGCATTATTTTTTCGATTTATAGTAAAAATTCAATGAGCCAAAGTTGTATGTAAAATTTTACCAAAACCTTAAATGTTTAACTTAAATTAAGGATAATGTTTTAGTATCATTCAATAAATGTTTTTAAATGTTGACAGCAATGAGCATTGATATATTGTTTGTTGACATCTGTTGGAATAAAATTTTATAAACTTTAAGTTTTCTTTATTTATAATATTACCTAAGGAAGTCTGACAAAGATCAACATCAAGACACAGACACAAGAAAACAATATCAACTTTATATACAGTTACTTAGATAGATTACAATCAGATTTGTAACAAATTAAAGAAAACATAAGAAAAACTTCTTTAACACACATGGCATTCCAAGCTGTTACTTGATGTTTGGTTAATTACAATGTATTGATACGGAATGGATGAGTAATTATAGGTAGTTACAAGTACATATACATGTATGTTCTCATTTTTAGTGTAAAGGTGATTGAAAACTTGTCAACAGAACATGTAACAGTATTCAGCAGTAATCATACATGTACATGCACATGTAGGTCATGTTCCTTAAGTCATTCATATACAATACAAGATGTGTTTATTTCATAAGGTCCCTTAGGGCACCATAACAATGATACAAAAATAATTCAGTCATATCAACATATATAGTACAAAAATACAATGTAAAATAAAGGTGTAATAATAAAAAAAAACAATATAAGATGATTTTAAATGTTAATTTCTCTGCAGTAAGGATTTTTGCAGCAGTGTGAACCAAGGGGAGAACATTTTTTTTTGGTGAATTAATTACTTGGCTGGAGGAGACACCAGCAAAGCAAGCATTGATACATAAATAGACATTGATAGACAAAAAGGCCATCATGATATACATTTTTGTACATGTACATAATTAAGAAATAAAATTAAAAATACGAAGAAAAAGTAGGGGAAAGAAAAGAAAAACATTTGGTTTCTTCTGAATATTAGCTGACACAAGTCATTTTTTTTTATCTCATTTCAAAAGGGGATTTATATTTCTTTTTTGTAATCATGGTAATCTGGTGGAAGTAAGATCATTTTATTATTTTAATATTTAATTTCAATTAAACTAATTTTGTAAATAACATCATTTATCTTACTTCATAATTCTTCTTATAGTCTGAGTTGGTGAATAGTTTGTGAGGCCTATTTTGTCTGAGTTTTTTATGGAAGTCCTTTAATAAATGTACCTTATCAGGTGTACAGAATGTTGATGTCCATATACAAGATATACATAAGTCTAAATTGAAAAAAACGTTCAAACCTATGATTGCTTTGGATAAAAACCGCAATTTTTATACGTGTGCGTGTGCATGCAAAACAAATTTCTTGGTAGAGGGCTCTAAATACAGCACAAACAACATTTTCCAAAAGACCAAAAAAGTGAAAAAGTATATTTCAACAAATTGCATTTGACTAGCAGGTCGAACAACGGATGTTCTTAAGCCCTGCTGACTGCCATGCATGGCGATTGCCAAATAAACGGATCACCAGATGTAACAAAATGGATCTTAATTATTAATTTAATACCAAATAGAAACAATAAACTTACTAAAAAGATGGTATACTGCAAACATGAGATGCAAAAATTGGTACACTATATCCAAATTTCATGATATACATGCATGTAAAGAGTAACACGTAGTGCTTTGAGGTGTGGCAACTCTTTTTAATTAGCCTGACTAGGTTTTGTGGCTCGGATTCACTGGGTGGCCAAATCAGAAAATTGCTCAAGATAAAGAATTCCCAAAAGGGATTAAAGCAGAGCCTGTTGGCTACCCACCCCTCTCGACCTCTGAATCACTAAAGGGAAAACTGCACTATCATAAATTATCAATAATGCATACCACTCCCCTGGCACATATTTCCATCCTAATAAATCTAATGATGTGAGGACTGTCTGTTAATATCTCTGCAAGGCCCCGCAAACTTGTCAATCAGTGATCATGATTCATTTGTCTGTCTGACACCAGGAGCCTGTGTACATGGTGTTATAGGCAAAATCAAAACTCCAAAATATTTGTCAAAATTTAAGGATGCCTACTTAATTTCTCCGATTCTTGAACTTTCAAAAATATAACAAGGACTATACATTGTTGTTAATTTGATATTTACAACAGTTCCATTATAACACTTACCCGATAATCTGTTATATTTATGAATAGAAAGTTTTACCCCAAAAAAGTCATGACAACCGGAAGTAGCGTAAGACTAAATACAAAAGACGCCCGAGAAGGAGAGATTTTCCGCATTCCATTTTTTGGACCTTCCATATTTGTAAATACGCCGCTGAAAATGATAACTTAAAACAAAAAAGATATTTCATATATCAAACCATAGATATAATAGCCAGCCTATTATATCTATGATCAAACATATCAAACTGAAGTTTGAAAAAAAAGATTGGAGAGAGACGTATATGTCTGAAGCAGGATCTCGCACACACTCACTGAATATGGTCTTCAACCTAAATGGATTCAACATCATGAAAATGTGACGACGAGGTGAAACTTCTTGGTGTAACAATAGACTTTAAACTGGATTTCAACACTCACATCTCAAACATCTATAAAAAAGCTGCACGACAACTAAACGTACTAAAAAGAATCGGCACTCATCTCACCAGACCTTCTAAACTTACAGTATACCAGTCATTTATCTTGTCAAACTTCAGCTATTGTCCTCTAACATGGCACTTATGCAGTGAACAAAACACAAAGAAAATAGAAAAAATACAAGAAAGAGCACTCAGATTTATTTATGACGACTACAAAAATTCTTACGATACACTCCTTGAACAGTCTAAGCTACCAGCACTAAAAATCAGAAGAATGAGAACCATGGCATTAGCGACTTACAAAATAATTAATAAATCAAGTCCGGAATTCCTACATAATTTAATAAACATTAAAGAAAATTCATATAATTTTAGGTACATAGGATATACCACGGCCAAACTTGAACAACAAGGTATGGTAAGAAAAGCTTTAGTTATGAGGCAGCAAGACTCTCGACTGGAACTCCTTGCCAAATGAGGCAAGGAGCTTATCAACTTTTGGCCAGTTCAAAAATTTTATCTCTACCTGGTGTTTTTCAGAAAATTGTACCTGCAGTTCTGTAAATAATTTAACTCCTTGCTGCTCCATGACTTAACCTTGAAGCCTGCTGTTTGTTTTTTATTTTTATTTTTTTTGGCAATTTTTTTATTCTTATTTATTATTTCTTTGTTTTGCAAGTTATGCATTTCCTGTGCTGTAGCTGCTTGCAGTCTTTTGCTTGTGGTTTATAGTGTTTAATTTTGCATGTGCTACTTGCTGTGTGCTCTTATGTGCTAATATTCGACATTTGTTTTAATATATATCTTGCTTAGCTTTTTGCATGTGTTATCTATCATGTATTAATACATGTATGTGCTGTCTGTATGTTTGTGTTGTATATGTATCTGATGTTATTACATGTATGTTTTGTTATTTAATATCAGTCGACTCGGTTAAATAGCTCTTAATTCCTCATGTTCCTTGTTATTATGTATATATGCAACCCGACTTTAAATAAAGATTACTTTACTTTACATTACTTTACTTTACTGGTATACCACTGTTATGTACAATACTGGAATAACATTTTGTACCAGTATTGTATTCATGTATTATATTAGTATTGTGCTTTTTTTCAAACATTGTGTCAGGTGGAAAAACATAATAGTAAGCACAAAGCATATACACGGTGATAGGACGTGCCGCTGGAATAGGTCACATTTTCAAGCTTGAAAATATGTGAATAGGTGGGGAAAACTATCAGAAATATATTATAAGGTCAATAAAGTTCCCAATACTCATATATTTGTTAATTCTTCTTCGTCTGTCATCTTTCTTGGTGTTCCCGGCTGTGTTTTTATCAACAAATGTTCTCTCTTGTAATCAAAGAGAGTATTAAATCCTCAGTAAACTGATGAGATGAAAAGATAATTAAATGAAAACGAGACTGTTCACCAGCATGGTTGGATTTTTTCACGGAGAAGAATTTTGAATTTCTATTACATACAATGCGTTGTTCGGCTGTGCTGTTTTTATGTGCTGATCTAGGTTTTTTGACGTATTCGTTTTTATTCTGTAGTTAGTCACCACTTCGGTATTAACATGTATATCAATTATATGATCATTTTTATATTTTATAAATCTACTGTTTGCAAAAATATGAATTATTCTAAATACTAAATATTTTCTTATCCCAGGCAGATAACCTAGCCGTATTTGGCACAACTTTTTGAAATTTTGGGTCATCAATGCTCTTCATCTTTAGGCCTGGCACCTTTGATAACTATTAGCTTGTCGTAATGTTCTATTGTATTGTTTATTTGTGTGTTTTTCTGTCCTGTATGTTCAGGAATCTGATGTTCAGTAGTTGTCGTTTGTTGATGTGGTTCATAAGTGTTTCTCGTTTCTCGTTTTTCATATAGATTATACCGTTGGTTTTACCGTTTGAATGGTTTTACACTAGTAATTTTTGGGGCCCTTTATAGCTTGCTGTTCGGTGTGAGCCAAGGCTCCGTGTTGAAGACCGTACTTTGACCTATAATGGTTTACTTTTATAAATTTTGACTTGGATGGAGGGTTGTCTCATTGGCACTCATACCACATCTTCTTATATCTATCCATATGTGAACTAGAAATAAACAACCAAAGCATTGAACAAATTGGTAACACTCTGAATTCACCAGATACTATAGTAAAAACAGTTCCTATCAACAACGAACAAAGAAAATCTTCACACGTAACTGGTATATCTGACCACGTCTCAAATTCCAACCCTCAAGACCATGTGCATTCAAATTTGTATAGTATCAAACAACATACAAATACAAGAGCTCATGAAAACATAACTCCAAGCTCTCAGATTAATATTGATCAATCAGACACCAATACCATAAAGCTAACCAAACAAGCCGGACCAAAGAAACAGAAAAATTAAAACAAGATGATCTAAAGTCTAAACTTGCTGTAGCAGAAGCCCACATTGCAGCTCTAGAAAATACCATCTTAGATAACAATAACACAATAAGGAACCTGAAACTTATACAATTCGGCTTAAATGGAAATATCCAAGATACAAGTAGATCTGACAATCACAGCTTGAACACTCACACTTTACCAACAAATGTTACTTACCAAAATTGTCACTGTACGCAACTGGACATCAGGGTTATATAATTAGAACCTGAAATAACCAACCTCAGATTACAAAACTTAGAAAACCAAATCCTGACACAAAGAAATCAAAATCAAAATCAAAATAACTTTAATTCGCAAGTTCCAATACACATGGTGCCACCACAACATGTTGTTCATGTTACCCTACCTCCAGCACCAAATAAATGGATACAACAAATGCCATCTCCTCCATTATCCCATCATGGTTTACTGGCTCCATCACCTTACATTTATAGACAATCAGATAGAATACCAGAAGTTCCAAGAAAAACTCGGAGACCTAATATTAACTTCCAATTCCAGGAAGCACAAATGTTCAATCTTCCACCAAGTGAACTTGTAGCACAATTACCTACTTCTGATAGTAATAACTGTATCGCTGTCAATCAATGAGCGTCCCAACCATCTCTGTTTAACCATTTATGCAGAACTCAATAAAAAGTGCCAAAAACAATCTTTAAAGGCTTTGTTGAATCCGACACGAAGTTTAAAGATGCTGAAGATGTAAGTAACGCACTGAGCAATGATAGTAAAACAATTTTGCTGTCAGAGAAGACTTAAAAACTCAAAGATGCTGATGATATAAGTAACACACGGAGCAAAGATGGTAAAAACAGTTTTGCTGTCAGAGAAGAAAATGTTATAGAGAAGACACCTATTAGTTCTGTACAGGATCGTCATTCTACAGATTCAAGCGTACCAAACAATCTTCACCAAAATCTAAAGTTCAACTCATCAATTGACTCATCAGTCTCATCTGTTAATAGTAAAAACTGTTTTGCTGTTAAACATATGAAGGAGACAAAGCAATCAGACAACTGTCACAATACAGTTCAACCAAAGCCAAATCACCATACTCACAGTGCGCTAAAATATGGAAACTCTTTTTCAGACAAAGAACAAACCATTCTTCTAGATCCAGATATAGCGCCCCTTGTGAAAAGAATGATGTAACCTTGGTAAAGCAAGTCCAGTACGTATTCTCTCTTTCAACCTTAAAGGCTTCAACTCTAACAAAAATTACCTCAATGAACTGCTCGATAAACATGACATCATTCTCTTACAAAAACACTGGCTCTTTAACTACGAAAAGGAACTATTGAAACAACAACACTCAGATTTTATTACATTTTCTAGAGATATTGATGATGTTGAACCAATTGGCAGACTAAGAGGACACGGTGGAATGAGGGTAGGAATTCCCTTTACCGTCAGGCGTCATTTTCGGCTACCGTTAGCGTCAAATTGGTTAAAATTTCACCGTGATTCGTCAAAATATCCTTATCGTGATTCGTCAGAGGTCTCAAATAATTATCGTTACCGTTATTTGTGGAAATTTTTTTTACGTGATTCGTCAACATCAGTCGATTTTTTTATCGTCTTAAAGAAAGTGTACATTTTATCGTCATGCACCAAAAATTACCGTTAACGTCATTTGGCAAGATTTTTTACCGTTATTCGTCATGAAGGTACTCCCATTACGACCCTCTGGAATTGCAACCTTATACAGAAATTCTGTCTTCAATGTTTTCTCAACTTCTAGACGGAAACAACAGAATACAAGCTATTGAAATATCAACAGTCGGAAATCCTACCTGCCTTACTAATGTATATCTTCCTTCTAGACGTAAGGATAAAGGACATGATGCTTATAAAGCATCATTAGACACTCTTAAAGAAATTATCCTTAAGTACCAAGAAACGCACTCAATTGTTATTGCAAAGGACATGATGCTTATAAAGCATCATTAGACACTCTTAAAGAAATTATCCTTAAGTACCAAGAAACGCACTCAATTGTTATTGCGGGGGACTGTAACGCCTCGTTCATTAGACATTACAAGGACTCCCAAGATGAACTGTTTAAACAGTTTTGCAAAGAAAATCAAAAAGAACTTCCAGTCACCCAACTGATCACACATATTTTCAAGGAGAATCTAGATCACAAATTGACTACATATTGGTCAAATCTATTGAGAATGATAAAAG